TTTTTATAAAATCAGATACACCTACTTGCAACTTAATATGTAAAGGAGAACAAATAAAACAAGTGGAAACCTTCAGATACTAGGGCTGCACAATAACTCCAGATGGCAAATGTGACACAAAAATAGAGAATTGCAATATCAAAGTACACATTCACCAAAATGAAGTCCATATTTACCAACAGAAAAATCAGCCTACCCACCAAACTCAACACACTGAAGGTATATGTATGGTCAATTCTTCTGTATGGATGCGAATGCTGGACACTAACACGTGATTTAGAGTAAAGACCCGAGGCAGCAGAGATGTGGATCATTAGAAGAATCTTGAAAATCTCATGGACTGAAAAGAAGTCAAACGAAGAGGTTATGAAGAATGTCTGGCTACAAGAGATCCATATTGAAAACCATCAGAAAAAGACAATTGGATTTCCTTGGACACTTAAACAGAGCAGATGGAATGGAAAGACAACTTCTCTGTGGAAAAATCAGTGGAGTGAGAAGCCGAGGAAGACGGCGAACAAAATACACAGATAGTCTGAACAACTTCACGACCAGGAAACAGTCCCTCATCAACGAACTCATACGCAAGACTGGCAACAGAGAGGAGTGGTCCATGACCGCCGATGTCTGCAGAAGACCTGGCACATGAAAAAAAAAGAAAAAAAGAAAAAAGAAAGAAAGAAAGAAAGAAAGAAAGAAAGAAAGAAAATATATACACACACATACATATGAATATATACACACGCACATATATACACATCTACGAATATACTGCTTCTCTTGTATACACATACACAATATATATGTACACACAAACACCTGCGCACTTCCGTGCATACTCACTCATACATGTGCACAGACGTTTGAACAGCGTCTGCCTGAGCGCACATACGCACTCCATTACAATGAGCCCATGCATTATAGTGTGCATAAATTTTAGGCTTGCAGCAGAGGGGTTGAGGGAAGAAGGCGGGTGACGTGGGGAGGAGGATTTAGGACGCTGGAATGGGTAAGGATGGGGTTTGGGGTTTGAGAATGTTAGAAAGGAGATTTTGTATCTATCAGCTCGGCCGACCGTGACCACGGGTCATGGGGTCAGCGTCTGTTCATTCTGATAAAATAGGAATTTCATCTCGGTCTCTACTTTTACCTGACACGTATGCAATTTATATTTCCCTTGTATTTGTCAATACGTTTCAAAGTTTTGATACATAATTTTCTTGTGTTTACGATAGAAATACTTATTTCCCGGTGTGTGAACGTAATTTAAACGTTTATTTGTTCACCCGGAACTTCAGTAGTTTGAAGAAAGAGGAACCATCTAGAAAAACAAAACAAAACAATGATAATAAATTCCTGATTATTAATTTCGCGTCAAATCCTAATATATGCTAAACAAGAAAGAAAATATGTCCGACTGTATATGACGTCATAAGGAGACATGGGAAATATGAGCTGAAAAAAGATGCCAAGCTGACACCTTTTTTCGATTTACGTTTGTACGGCTGCTTGCCATTGCAAAGTATGGGTCTTGAACAAACAATAAAATTTCTTATTAAGGGTTTCACACATTTCCTCTTCCTTAGTATAAATGATGCTATTGTCTTTGATGCCGTTAATTTGATCTCTACTTTTAGTCTTACTATTTAGGTAGTTAAAGAAGAGCTTTGATTGTTTTATATATTCATTGATTAGATCCTTTTCAAAGTCTAATTTCGCCTCCCTCGTGGTGTGTGTGTGTGTGTGTGTGTATGTATGTGTATATGTGTGTGTGTGTGTGTTTGTCCGTGCGCGTATGTATGTGTGTGTGTGTGTGTGTGTGTGTGTGTGTGTGTGTGTGTGTGTGTGTGTGTGTGTGTGTGCGTATCCGTGCATGTGTATATATGTGTGTGTGTGTGTGTGTGTGTGTGTGTGTGTGTGTGTGCGTGTATATTCATTAATTTTCATGTTTACATATATATGTTTGGGAAAGACCAATATCTTTCCTGGTGAATACAGCGTAAAAATCATATATTTGAACACGCACTTTTTAGCAAAAGATTCCCTGAACCCGTCAGCGCGATCTGGCATAGCAGAGGCGAGCGCACGAAGCTCTCTGGATATCATGCTCCTCCTTGAACCCAGACGAGGAGGCGAGCGCGATGGAGGCGCGGACTGCCAGCGAAAACAAAGGTCGGCGCCATAGAGAGAAAGCACTTCCTGTGCCTGCGCACACGGAAGACACGTGTGCGATCCCTGCATATTACGTCTTTCCTTTTCTCTTAATGGCCGAATTGTCCGAAGAGTGAAAAGACAATGTGTGGGAAAAGCTATGTACCTTTGTGTCTACGAGTGTCTGACAGCCGCATGGCGAGTGAAATGCATTTGCATGTCATTATCGCGTCTTTTGTATTCGTTTTTTTTTTTTCGTTTCTACTCTAAACCCTGATTTAGCGGCCAGTGGGAGCACCTCCTCTGGCCAGGGTCCGGCTGTTTTTCTTCCAAAAGGAGCGGGAGGCGGCAAGGGACGCGTCCTGCTTGGCTTGGCGGCTGAGAGGCCAGCGGA